TTGTGTATGTTATATTTTGAGACTGATCATAAAAACAAAATGGATTAAAAGAAGAACTAAACAGATCTTTCTCATATTGCAATGATCGATTCTATTTCTTTCACATTAAGTACTGTACTAGTAAATATGTGAAATGACAAACTCACTTTGAAGGTTGGCTTTCATACACATCAGTATTAAGTTTAGATCAAAAGTTACCTCAAGGTGCATTTACTGTTAACATGACTCGATCAAACAGATTAGAGGAAAGAAGAGAAAGGATCGAACTGACAAAGAGCTCATGAAGATGGTACAAAGGTGGGCGCCAAGATCCCTCTGGGATCTCTTGTATCTGCTAGGAGTAGGAGTGAAAAAACTCTTTACCATCTTTAAGAATCGGAATTTGCTTTTCGTATAGTGTTGTGAGATACACGTCTGCGTGACACTGTTGTATGACAAATACATCACCTGTGACACATCCAATTAGTCTTTCATGTCACAAATGTCAACTAGGAAACGTTCCACTTTTAGCTCACCTGGTCCGAAAGACCAAGGTGAGCTTATGCGATACCGTGGCGTCCATCGTCTGTATGTCAACAATTTCTTTTGAACGATTTCTTCTTCTTAACCACTGATTGGAATTTGACTAAATTTGACTGGAAGCATCCCTAGGTGGTGGGGATTCAAAATTGTACAAATGGTTTGGGTGACTCCCCAGGGGGCTCAGAGGCGGGGCCAAAAAGGGGCAATTTGGCTATATTGCTTTAAGCGACTTCTCTGGAACTAAGAGATGGATATAAAACATATTTGACTGGAAGCATCCCTAGGTGGTGGGAATTCAAAATTGTACAAATGGTAGGGCTGGCCCCCCAGGCAGCTGAGGGGTGGGGCCAAAAGGGGACAATTTGGCTATATTGCTTTAAGCGACTTCTCTGAAATTAAGAGATGGATATCAACCATATTTCACTGGAAGTATCCCTAGGTGGTGGGGATTCAAAATTGGACCCCCCCCAGGGGGCTGAGGGGCGGGACCAAAAGGGGGTAATTTGGCTATATTGCTATAAACAACTTCTTCTGTAGAACTGTGCCATGGATATCGACCATATTTGGTCGGAAGCATTCATGGGAGGTAGGGATTGTACACATTTTGTTGCTGACCCCCAAGGCTAAGGGGTGGGGCCAAAAAAAGTTTATTACTTGGAAATGGTTGAGATCCCCACCGTATAACTTTGAAACGTTTGAGATTCCCTCCCCAAAACTATATATACAATTGTTGGGCATAAAGAGACTATTGCAGTCATGATATAAGAATGGATCCCAGGGTCTGCCCCTTCTTTGCAGACTTAACCCCTTGGTCATAACTTTGAAACGGTTGAGATCCCCACCCCAAAACTATAAATACAAATGCTGGGCAAAAAGAGACAAATGCAGTCATGATATTAGAATTGATCCTGGGGTCTGGCCACAACCTATGGACCTAGTCTCCGAGTCACAGCTTGGAAACAGTTGAGATTCCCACCCCATAACCATACATAAAATTGCTGGGCATGAAAAATGTAATACAGATATGCTACAAGGATTGGCCTTGGGGTCTGGCATATTCCCTTGGATCTCATTTGGAGAATATTTTGCCATGATTACTTAGATATCCAAGTGAGCGATACAGGCCCTCTGGGCCTCTTGTTTCTGTTGTCTCGCAAATTGCCATGTCAACACACATAAATATTGCCTTTACTGCCTCCCTGTTCCTGTCAAGTTCTATATCCCCAAGTTCAGTAACCCCTCTGTCACAGAATGGAGAAGTGGACATGTACCTTGTTAAACTTTATTAAAATTGTGATTTCAAAAGTTCTAACCTTGTCAATGATTTTCATCTTACATTTTGTAAAGAATTTGTTACAAATTTTAGATAGAAACAAAATGAATAAAGAAATATGTCATTTTTTAAGAGCAATTAATTCTTCCCTTGTAATTGCAAAGGAACAGGTGGTTGTGAAATGGAAGTAAAAAAGACACTGGGTGTCAGGATGTTTAGTACAAATAAAGACGTGTGGGTGCAGGTTGGGGTCAAGTATTGTGTACATTTATTATTATTACATGTCATTGCCAAGACTGATACTATACAGGTGTATGTAGGTGTGTGTATATTATATCTGTGTCAGACGTTCTTACAATAATCTACACATTACTCACTCCCTGGGTTTTCAGAAAATCATGGGTGAGTCAGAGCTAGATCACTTGTAGGTGACGTGGTGCTGTATGGTTAGACTCGGGGACAGTACATCAATAGGGACTGCCTTGTGTGTGGGCGTTCTGTGAGCTTATATTATCTGTATTTGCTTCAGTGTCCAGTGGATGACCTAACCTGGCCAAAGGTCAATTAAGAGTTCATTGGAAAATAAAATTTGTGATTATATTTTTAAAATATTTTTTGTTGATGTACAATGAACTATGCATTATATACTACATAATAAAAAATAAAAATAAATCTAGCATCTTCTATTGATAAATGTTTTGGATATACATGTATTGAGGGTAAATAATGCCTGCGTATCATTTTAAATGAATTTGGGACGTAGTTAAAATTGGCTCAAATATTGACAGCCCAGTATGAAGTCTAATGCATCTGTGATTCTCAGATAACAGGTTATAAATAAGTCAATAACACATATGTGCCAAAACCATTCAGATAGTACCTGATACGTGTGTAGCTTGGCTTTATTGTACCTACTGATATCATCAGTAAAACATAAAAGATATTACCTAACTACCTGTGGTCATACCTTATATTGTCATACTGTACCTGTCCCTATATAATTAACAGACACACACAGGTATAAATGCATGACTTTGTTTGGCTATGAATGCAGTGTCTACAGGAAATGGCTGGCGAGAGTTAAATACTCGCCATATTGTGTTTTACATGATCTGCTGACTGATTGAAACATTACCTCCAATGTGCGACGTCATTAAGTTCAATGTATAGAGTACATAATGTATATATGTATATATATATATTTAAATAGAGTGTGCTTGGGCAGAATAAACGGAAATAATGCTTTGATAGTCTGCTTCCTTTGTTAGACGTCATTGTGTCTGGAGCAAACTGCCTATCCAGATTGGTCTATTTAATTTGTTGGTAGGGCAGGGGTAGGCCAAATTCTTTTTGTTGGTTTAACCCAGCTGGTATGTTTGCTTTGAGAGGTGGCTTGACCTTTGGAAAACTGACCCATCCAGCTGGTATGTTTGCTTTAAGAGATGGCTAACCGCTTGACCTTTGGAAAACTGACCAATCCTTGGGAGTAGAGTTTTTCAAAAATATCTTGCAGTGGGCAGCTGTACTTGGAATTCCCCATCATATATGCTTCAGCTAAATATAGATTTTACTTGGAATCACCAGTTGGTTTATAAAAAGACTGCAACCTAGACCTTCTTTGTTAGATTACTTTAGTTTACTTATACACAATAGGTCATATATGAATCTATAAATCTGTAATATCTTATTAGAATATTAAGCATTTCACAAGTTCTATTTAAAAAATAATTTAAGACAATAGCTTGCCTACTTTTGTTGTATGAGAACACCATTGAAGCAACTCCAGTGTTTCTTTGTAACAACTTGTATTTTCCAATTGCTGTTTTATTATCTTTTTTTACCAAAGTTGTGTCAGTGTGGTCAGTTACCAAAACAGTTGTGGAGGGGATGCATGGGATGGGTTGGGGGGAGGATTTTACTAAACTTGAGGTGGGCAGCTGGAAGACACAGTGCATATAAACGTCCAGGCCAAGTTCACAGCTGGATGGAATCTGTATATTAGTGGTGTTGCAGGCATTTATCATTTTTCAGCTATGTTATGTGGTAATTTTGATACCCCCCCCCCATGTGATCAAGAGGTTCCATTTTGCCCCTCCCCTAACATATGGTGCCTTCTTAAGCTTGTACATTGTCTTGTTTCTGTTTGATTTACCATTGAAGTATTAGTGTATCATTACAATGCAGGAATCCCATTGACCTGTGTTTTCTCTTTTTGAACACTTGTTATATATGAAGATAAAAATTAAGTAGGTGTGCATTTTTTTTAAATCCATGGTTTAACACTAACACTAGTCCGCTAGTCTGAGATTAGTTAATTTCAGCAAGGACTAGTGAATTAAATAACAAAACTTGTCCTTCAGATTTGTAATAAAATGTCATCACAATATCATTTGATATCATAAAATAAAAAAATAAAAATTCCTTTTGGAGTTAACTGCTTAAAATACACATCAATTGCATGATAATTGTCAAACTGTCCTACAAAATCTCCATAAATCTCGATTGTAGTAATTATTTGATGTACCTTACAGTCAGTTACTTTTGTATGTTTCGTGCTCTAGATAATAAGGAAATCTTGGACTGATAACATGACATAAAATAATCTATTCAAGTAGTCCTGTGGCCTACCAATCAAAAATAGTAGAGGTACTTTAACCCTGAAATCATAAAGTTATTTTCTACAACATAAATAAGAAGCGTGTTCAGTTGTACATGAAAGTAAATAAGACTTCTCACTGATAACAATGGAGCACTTGTAAATTAGATTTAAATTTTAATGTGATTGGTTGGTTTAGATATCATTCCTCAAGTTTTTGCGGTAATGAAACCACATGTGCTGCACAGTTTCTTTTCCTGCAAAATGGATTGTGTGCATGTCATCTGGTCATTAGTATTGTATTTAACATAGATGCAAACATCTATCAACGATTATGACATGTGTACATATTGATTTGTCAACTACAGAAAAAAATAACAGGTAAAACAAATTAGGTAAAAATTATGAAATAATGTATCTAGTTTGATATGTTTGATAGACATGTTGCACAGTATCTCCCCTTGATGTGCCACTAGAGGAAGGAAAACACTTCACTGGTGCAGCTTGTCCGGGGTAGCAGTGACCTTGAGTGTATAATAGACTGCTAGATCATTGACTTGTAGGCTGTGCTGCACTGCACGCATAGGTGCATAAACACAGCCAGGGTTGGACTTTTCTGGCTTATCTATGATGTACATGGTCGGGGCCTGTAATGTGTTACTATTCATAGGACTGATAACAGCAGTGAGCTGAAAATTCCCAGTAAAAGGGGTCAGAGGTGATTTGGTTGGTGATTTTCTGAAAGCAGCATTTCGAGTCAATACTTGACGGATATGCTATTTGATGCTACTGTTCATGCGAGACTGGAATCCATTAAAAAATATCATGCACATGTATTGGTTTTGCATATTTTATTATTAATAAGTATGAGGACTCTATAAGCTATAAACACAGGGCCCCATTGTATCAGACTTTATTATTCTGTACATGTAAAATGATTAATTTTAACCACAATTATTTTAGCCTATCATCAACAGATGTCGGCTCTCGTTTGTCTTGCTTAAACTATTCTTATCATTTTTTCTTGAGAGGTACTGGACAGTTCTTTCTAAAATTTCAAATGTACTTTGTGTAGCTTCCCAACAGTCCATAGTTGTTTGTTGTGTATCAGGATCTTATTACTTCTGTTACATAACGTGAACTTGATCAATAGTAATCCAATACTCCTGATGTTGAATTCGAACTTAGCGGTAGCGGCCTGGGGTGGATCCGTGAGTGGATTCTATAGAGCACCTTACTAATAAAACATAATGGAAAGTAGTTTTTGTGTGATTTACTGTACATGTTTCGGCCTGCTATGACTGATGATGGCCACATAGCAGGCAGACACATGTAAACAGTAAACCACACAAAACATCCTTGTGGTGTTGAGATTCCTTTATTTCTCTATAGTGTGAATTTCTCACTTCTGTTACATAGTCTAGTGTGAACTTGTCACTCCTGTTGTGTAGTGTGAACTTGTCACTTCTTTGTGTAGTGTGAACTTGTCACTCTGACCTCTGTTTAGCTTGCATCTGTATTGACCACTCTTGTTCATTTCAGGGCTACACAACATATATATACAAGAGCAACATGGAAATGCGTGGCATGACCTATGCATGGAGAGCTCTGGAACGTCAACTACAGGAGGAAACAAAAGAAAAAATCAAGGGCATGAGGTTCTGCAAGGATCACACGGTAAGTCAATAAGGACTGCACAGTCCTTAAGCCTTGACACATGCTATCATATCAGACACGATTTACACTCCATTTCCTGTCATCATTTATGATAATGTATTTATTTGTAATTTGTTAAGACTAGTTATTCTAGATAAGATTAGAACGATTAATTAATCATTAAGACACCACAGTATGAGTAAAAAAAATCAGTTCTAGTAATAAAAGATGTGGATGAAAAATTGAAAACAAGAATTATTGAGAGTTTCTCGTTGAAATATTATGTATTTTGTTCCGGAGACTTTCCATTTGAATGACAATTATGTAGGGAAAAAGTTCATAAATTTCATGAGATGGAGACTAGATCATATTCAAAAGTTTTCATCACCCATGCAGTAATTTTCCAATATATCACATCAACCAATTATTGTTATTAATTGCAAAAGACAGGCAAAATACCCAGACATTGCCATAAGTTCAGTGGACTAGAACATTTTCCGTTCTCTGATGGAAATAAAGCTAAATGATTTAAAACACTAAGCGTCGTTGATGAAGTGGAGAAGATGAATTTGATGTGTGGGGGCGTAGTACTAAGACACTAACGTATTCACCTATGAAATGTGATGGCTGCTAAACTCTGATCATTGAGTGTACTCCGTGATACTAATGTGAATGTTGTCTGGATTTTTGTGTTTCAGTCTGTTGTGTTTGACATGCCCCAAGATTGTGACGATTATATTGCCTCCACATGGGTGGACACAGACCGCGATTCTCTCACAAAAGCCACAGAACTTCCAGAAATGGACGAACCAACATACAGCACTAGTTTTGGACGAGGAGGGGGTAGAGGAGGTGGACGAGGTAGAGGTTTTGGGGGCCGAGGATTTGGGGGCAGGGGGCGAGATCAAGGCAGAGGAAGCCCAGGGGGGAGGGGCGGTGGTGGAGGAGGATTCCGAGGGGGATTCAACAAAAGAAGGATAGACGTTGATGGTGCGCCACAAAACAAGAAAATGAAATTTGATTAATGACCAATGATTATTAAGAATTAATTTAACCATGAAGATTATTAACTTTGAAATTTAAACACATTAAAATTATTTTAAATGAAAGGTATTTTGAATCTGCCTTGCAATTTCTGTTGTCATATTTATCTTTGCTTTATTAAAGATATTGTTGTCAAGATAATGTTGTTTCGTAATGTTTCATGATGGGCTGCTAGTTTTGTTAGTGAACTTATGCGGTACTGTCGTCTGTCTGTCAATAATTTCTTAAAATAAATTCTTCTTCACAGCTGCTAATTAGAAATCAACATAGTTTGACTCGAAGTATATTTAGGTGGTTGGGATACAAAAATATACAAATGGAAGGTCTGATACCCAAGAAGGCTGAGGGATGGGGCCAAAAACGGGGAATTTGGTCATATTGCATTAAGTGACTTCTCCTCTGGAACTGAGAGATTGATTTATATAATATCAACCACATTTTTTGAAAGCATTCTCAGGTGATGGAGATTCAAAATTGTACAAACAGGGGTGCAGGGCCAAAAGGGATAATTGGGCCTTTATGCTTTCAGTGACTTCTTGATCTGGAACCGAGAGATGAATATCAACCATATCTGGCTGGAAGCATTCTCGGGTGTAGGGGATTCAAAATTATACATATGTAGGGATGACCCCTATCCCAACCCCAAAACCATATATCGGTATACAATCCCAATACATAACTAGACGAATACACTTGTGCTTCCATATTTCACCCGGTTTCTGGCCTTGCCTCATGGGAACAGTTGAAATCTCCACCCTATAACCATAATACAATTAATAGGCATGAAAAGACAACCTTACGGATGTACCAAGGTATCCAGCCACACTTGGGGTATTTAATCCCTTGATCTTAACATGAAAACTGTAAATCTTTATACAATTTCTAAATGTGACAAGATCAATATTCAGAAGTAATGCTGGAAGTTTTGTTGGCTAAAACGTGTCATTCATCAGCCTTGTTCAAATGATCATTCAATGTATCGGGTGCGTAGCTGCCTATACTCGGGTACACAGGTGCATCAACCAAATTTTCAAACAGAAAAACACTGCTTGTTGAACCCCTGTCCTGGACCTGCTCTTTAATGAACCACTTTGAACAAGGGCTAGATATGCCCCTTTAAATGCATTTGATATTTTCTGATAAACACTGCTCACCATTACCCCGTATTTTACTCGCTTGAACCTAACATCAATGACGGACAAATGACGTCTCGATACCATAGCACAAAAGGGCCTAAAGAAAACAACCGATGAGAATATTGTGTTTTATCTCGGTGTGAAGTATGAACCCCGTCGCCCTTCACAGGTCATAAATAGTGTTGAACTTCGATGGTCAAATATAGACTTTCTACGTAATAAGTAATTTTTAGCTCACCTTGCGCAAGTGAGCTTATGCCATGGTGCAGCGTCCGTCCCGCGTCAAAATTTTACTGTAAACAACTTCTTAATAACTGCAAGGCCTATGGTGATGATATTTGGCCAGAAGCAAACTGGGATGAAGGGCTACCAAGTTTGCTCAAATAAATGACCCTTCACCGATATTCAAGGTCACGGGTCAAATATGTTAAAAACCTTGAACGACTTTTTTGAGAATAACCGAAATGCCCAGGGTGATGATATTTGGTCAGTAGCATGCTGGGATGAAGGGCTACCAAGTTTGTTAAAATGACCCCGCCTCATATTCAAGGTCACAGGGGTCAAATGTCTAAAAAAAACTTTAAACAACTTCTTCTGAATAACCAAAATGCCAAGGATGTTGATAATTTGTCAGTAGCAGACTAGGATGAAGGGCTTCAAAGTTTGTTTAAATGGATGACCTTGACTTGTATTTAAGGTCACAGGGGTCAAATATGTCAAACTTTTAAACAACTTCTTCTGAATAACCAAATGGTGCAGGATGTTGATATTTAGCAAGTAGCATACTTGGATGAAGGGCTATCAAGCTTTTTAATTTGAATAACCTTGACCCACTTTAAAGGTCAAATATGTGTAAACATTTAAATGTCCTTATCTTAATAAGCAAAATGATAGGGTGGTGATATTTTGCAAGTTGCATCCTGAGATGAAGGGCTATAAAATTTGTTAAACGTGATGACCTTATTGGACTTTTAAGGTCACAAGGGTGAAAAGGTTTTTCAATATTTTAACATGTTCTTTTGAATGACTTATAGTCACAAATACTGATATTTTGCCTGTAGCTTTATTTTAGATCACTTAAGTTTACAAGTGTCAGATTTAGACCAGGTGAGCGATGCAGGCCCTCTTGTTATAACAAACTAATTAACATTAGATCTTCGCATCGGTCCTGTATCAGTAAACGGGAGTGATGCGAAGATCTCATTTTAATTAGATTTTTTTTTTGTAATAACCTGGATATAAACGAATATTGACATAATTCCGGTAAGTGTAAAACATAAGAAAAACAAGGAGAAAGTAATAAGATTTTATTTACACTGTAAAATTCTTTATTAACATAATCTTTGAATGTTTATAAAATAAATATTCACATGATAAAGAAACAAAATTAACCCTCAAACAAATTGCAAAATGATCGGTCAAAAGTTTCTTAGTATTGCATACCAGATTTCAGTTGCTGAAAATAAATCGGCCTCTGATTTTTTAAGAAAATCCACTTAGCATAGATTCCAGTTTGTATATTCTGGACAATTTTCACCCATTTATTGGATGTAAAAACACCATACAGTATTTCCCCCGTTTTTGCCAAAAATAACGGATCTAGTAGAAAAACGAACTTGCCCGAACCCAGCACAGACAATTCCTGAAGATTTTCCTCAGGAAATCACTATAGGGTTAAACCCTTTCACCACTGTAGACCATAATGGGCACATCCAGATCAATGCTTTAGAGTCTTATTAAAGTTACGTAGGGGGTTAAAGGATTAAGGAAACTTTTGCGTCCAATGGAAACTTTTCGACTTGTAGGTAAATTGGATTCATTTTAAGCTAAGGAATTATCCCGAAACTGGTGTCATTTTTGTAGCTCCTATCGAAGTTAACACCAAAAAAACAAAAAACAAGAATGCCCGCTAAAACGTATTTTGTATGAAGGAACGGGGTATGGATCGGAGGGTTATCAATCATCCCATGACCGCCACACATGTATACTTCCCCGCAATGGTGAACAGAAAATTGAGGTGTCATTAACTATAACAGAAAATAAAGAATTTAAATTTAAGCCACAGATCTATGAAATAATAACATGAAGTGATAACAGAAAATACAGAATTTAAATTTAAGCCATAGATCTATGAAAAAAATGACATGAAGTGAAATCCAACACTAGTCTGTGCTGAATTATAATGATTGAAATGGTGTATTATACGTTTTGTATACTGATGGGCCAATGGCCTAAAGTTCGAATAAAAACTTGAAAACTTGAATTACAACAGTGATGTCATGATTTCATCAACTGTTTCCTTGAAAATTGTGTGCACGAAATCAATACTTACAATATGTTAGTTGGCTTAACTGACAATTTGGCAATCAATCTCACATTATCGCGTGGATAGCTTAACACATTGTTCAGTCGTTGATTTTCGTTTTGAAAGCATTCACTGGATTATGTTATACTTCATTACAAGTTCAAACTACAATTGTATGTGAAATACTTGCATTCTGCTAAATATGTTATCAAATCCAGGGACTCATTTTCAGATATCTACATAACTAATTCTTTACGAAATCAACATGTTAACAAAATGTAATTTATGCAATAGTTTGTTCTAAATGTGGTGATTTTTACTCACTTTGGAGCAGAGCAGGTAACCCCATTATTTTGGCCCCCTTTCTATGAAATGGATAGGCTTCTTGTAACTGTACTAGTATATATAAATTGCACCGTCCACATTAATATTGTAGGCAGCAAAATTGACGTCCTACAGGCATGATGGGAAAATTAGCTGGAAATGACACGGTAAATTGATGTTAGGGTGGATAAATTTGTATGTTGATACCATAACTCTGTAATGACCCTAGTACTAATTTTTATTCCAGGCCGGGTCTGACGACGCAATATATAAAACAAACACGCAGCTATAATGACCCATACCTGGTCACATTTGCAGCCATGGAGTTTATTCTCCACGTATATATACATGCAAACCGAAGTCAAAATTAGTCTATTTTTCATATACATATGATCAGAGACACTTATTACGAAAGAGAAAAATAGGAACGCATTTAATTACAAACGCAACATACTAGTATTGCTATATTTTCTCGTTCGCGATAGGTGTCCTTTGATTTGATGAAATCAATATTCGTGCACTGTTCACAGATGTATTGCCATGAGGAAGGCCGAATTCCTCCACTTTTCATATATAAATATATAAAGGTATAATTTTGTCAAAATTAGTATCATAAGCTTATAGAATTCTGTGTTAGGGTATTGAAGACATGGGGTGGACAGGAGTTTTCAGTAAAAGGCAAGAGAGACTGTCATCACCGGAACAGGACTCTTGTTACTTCCCATCAACACTTCTCTTGCCCACTGTTTTCAGCACTATATGGTTTTTAGTTAACATAAAGCCGTATCAGATTGATTATTGCTACCAAATGAAGCACTAGAATCTGCTAGTGTATATATTTAATTGCTTCCCCGACATCAGGAGGCTTACACAGGCAGGTCCACCAGCATGTTATATAGGGGCAATGCTTTTACATATCCAAGTAACTCTTCGTTTTGATGTTCATGGCTGGGATGTTCATTCCGATGGTTGATGCATCAAATCTGAAATTAAAAAAAAATAATAATAAGCGGAAAAATATCATCCGCCCAAATTACATGTAATATCATTATCTCACCTGTGTACTAAAATGGTAAGTACTGGTTCATCATTAAGATTACTTTCTGTAAGGAAAGAAGAGCATCCGTCAAAATCACATTTTATTTTATTTGCGCACCTGTGTACTGAAAAGTTATGTGCCGGTACGTCCTAAGATTACCGCCCAAATTACATTATCTGTTATTTTCTCACCTGTGTAACTTACTTCAGGACAGGTACATCATAAGGATCTCCTACTGTATCTGTCGCTGAATATTTGTCTTAAAAGAGGGAATATGGAATTTAAAACAAAAGGGAAATAGGGAATGTAATAAAAAAAAAAAGTGACTGATGCCACAAACGCTAGCCTCATTTGTCACTACACCCATGATAGTGAATTATATATGCGTATTGGCAGACTGAGATAAGTACCTGTAATTTGAAACTAGTCAGTAAGCTAAAGTGATCAGAAACTATTTCCAAAACTAGCCCAACCCAGAGTAGATACATGCATGTATCATCTGTTTGAAGCTAATTAGTGTCCTCAATACAACACGACCTCATCTATGTCCTACTACAATTGAGCAGGGTCGGTAACCTTTCTATGTGTATAGCAAGACCATTTATCAGAGTTAGATCATAGTCATCTGTTTCATGTCTGGAGATAGACGTTGGTATGTAGAGGATATGTGTAGGTAGTTACTTTTTTGTTTTATTTGTGTATACATGTGATTGTTGAAAATGGCCTTAGAGAGATGATTGTAATCGGAAAAAAAGTTATGAAGTATTCGCAGACAAGAAACACAAATATTTTTGTTTTCGCTTGATAAAAAGAGCAATATGAATGATTAATTTTCTTTGTTTCCAATAAAATTCGCAGGTTTTCCTTCTGACACTCCACCCTTAGGTTACAGCCCCCTGGTAATGAGGCGGTCGACAATGTATGGGGAAAGCACCACCAAAAAGACCAGAAAGTGGTCGCTTGTTATAGGTAGTCACTTAACACTGGTTCAGATAACATGGGGAAATAACTGCAAAAAATGACAGTTGTATCCTAACACAAATGGTCTGCAATCGAGGTCGTCCCTTAAACAGGATTTATTGTACAATCAAGACAAGTGAACAAAAGTACGAACCTATAACCGGAACCGGAAGTTGTGTGGCCTGATCTGAAGACACTACTTGGATTTCCACCTGAGCTGCTATGACCAGATTCCCTTGCTGGTCAAATGTACTAGACATGATGTTGACGTCTGACGTATGGCAGTCGGGAGTCCTAATCAAGTTGGAATAGTCCGGGACGGATATTTGTTGGGATGTTGACGGGGTCTGTGGAGCACTGGAATAATTTGGGGAATGGAAGATGAAAGTGTCATTTGTCTCCTCGTCTGAGTCAGAATCTTCATTGCTCTCATCCTGCAATGGAAAAATCGGACGATTCATCATATACGACTTGTTAAAAGTGTTTAAAATGTTGATAAACATATTAATTCTCTACTTCATGCAATATGTTAATTATTTCGATCTCATGTGCGTTTACAAGATTATAAAGCAAACGATTTATTTAAGTTTAGCATCGTTTAACCAGTTTATTACTAAGTCAAAAAACAAACTACTTTAGTAGAGTACATATGTTTCCTTGATTATAAAACGTATATTTTTATTTGACACCCTTGACACAATAAATGTTTCTATCAAATGTCAAAAGTGTCTAATGGGAAAAATAATAATAGTTTATCATCAACCAAACTTACATCGTCACTTTCTTTTTCTTGATTTTTATCTGAAACACATATAAAAGACATTGTCACACAAAGAAGGTATAAATGGATGGCGGCCATTTTGAAAATTCTCGTTAGCATATAGATAAGTTTCCTTAATTTGAATACGTTCCTGAAACCAGGTATTCCACACACAGCAATAAGATGGTAAAAACACATCATGGAGAAATATATTATGAAATATTGAATTAATTTTTCACAGTAATATAGAAACTAACACGGCTGCCTAGATGAAACACAGAGACACGACACATGGTCTATTGGTTACTGGTTGGATCGTTTTATTATCACGTATCCGGTCCTGTGACAATAAACATTAGAAGCAGTATTACCTTTAGATTCCGTTGACAATGAACTGTTCTCTCCGAAGCGAATCATTACGAATCCACAGCCGAGGTGAGGAAAGGTCCCCGACGTCGTCCCCAGAAGTTCTGTAATGATAAATGAGTAATGATGCATAAACAGAGTATTCTTATTAACGAATGACGAATTGTATTCAATTAACATTCCAACCAGAATGAACTGCTCCTCTTCTTAATAACATACCTGTATATTCCGTCTTAACACGGTTTTCGATGACGTCATCGCTGTCTTTGCTTGGCACAGGCAGACTAACATCTTTTACAACAGGCTGCACGTTTGGACTGTCCAATGCTGCATCGGAAGAATCGGAAGTGTCGATTTCCTAAAATGTTGGAAGTTAGCGGTTGCAAAAATGAAGTACATGGCAACTTTGCGACATTCTGTTTATCATATGATATAAGATAACACAACGCTAGTTTCAAGTTTGTTATATCTGAAAAATTCTGATTACAGTCTTAAACTATCGTGTAAAACCATTATATCTGTAGTAATTTACGGATAATTGGAACAAGAAAAACATGGAAATATATTTTATTATATGAAGTGTCAAGGTCTCTAAACTTTTTACAATTTCCTGAAGAAATTCAGCCCTCCGTTACCTTTTTCACATAGGGCTTCTTCCTTCGCCTAGATCGTAGACTATAGTAGGGAACTGGCTTCTTACAAGGCGTCGGACTTTCAACGCCACTATCCGCATCGGACTCAGTGCTCTGCTGTCCTGTTAATGAAGAAGAGTGTCATAATTTCACAAACTCGCATTTTGTTGTGCAGTTATAAGTGTTTATTTTCTGAAAGGAGAAATAAATAAAGGATTAATAGATAAATAAATAGATGAATAAATTAAATAGAAGAGCTTTCGCTTTGGCATATACTCGGGCTCGGTTTGTTGTTTTTAATATGTAACTAAATTTTAATTGAATAAAGTGATACGGTCTCTTACGTAGGATTCGGCTAGATGTAAACTTGACAAGTCGATAGCACAAACTTTCAATGACCGATTTCTTTTTAAATATCTTGAAATTTTGTCTTATCGGAATCATCCCTGTGTGAACATTTTTTGACGAATTTCATAAGCATACATAAATATACTCAATTAAACTTATACGTTACATTGTCGCTAAGATAATTTGTAAAATATATACGTTATATTGTCACTAAGGTAATTATAGGTACGTTACATTGTCGCTTAGGTAACTATATAAACGTTTTATTGTCACTAAGATAATTATATATACGTTATATTGTCACTAAGGTAATTATATGTACGTTACATTGTCGCTAAGGTAATTATATATACGTTATATTGTCGCTAAGGTAATTATATGTACGTAACATTGTCGCTAAGGTAATTATTGTCGCTAAGGTAATTATATATATACGTTATATTGTTGCTAAGGTAATTATTGTCGCTAAGGTAATACTATATACGCTATATTGTTGCTAAGGTAATTATATATACGTTATATTGTCACTAAGGTAATTATATATACGTTACATTGTCGCTAAGGTAATTATATATACGTTACATTGTCGCTTAGGTTATTATATATACGTTATATTGTCGCTTAGGTAATCATATATACGTTACATTGTCGCTTAGGTAATTATATATACGTTATATTGTCGCTTAGGTAATTATATATACGTTATATTGTCACTAAGGTAATTATATATACGTTACATTGTCGCTAAGGTAATTATATATACGTTACATTGTCGCTTAGGTTATTATATATACGTTATATTGTCGCTTAGGTTATCATATATACGTTACATTGTCGCTTAGGTAATTATATATACGTTATATTGTTGCTTAGGTAATTATATATACGTTATATTGTCACTAAGGTAATTATATATACCATACATTGTCGTTAAGGTAATTATATATACCATACATTGTCACTAAGTTAACTATATATACCATACATTGTCACTAAGGTAATTATATGTACCATACATTGTCACTAAGGTAATTATATATACGCTATATTGTCACTAAGGTAATTATATATACCATAAATTGTCACTAAGGTAATTATATATACCATACATTGTCGCTTAGGTAATTATATATACCATACACTGTCACTAAGGTAATTATATATACCATACATTGTCGCTTAGGTAATTATATATACCATACATTGTCACTAAGGTAATTCTATATACCATACATTGTCACTAAGGTAATTATATATACGCTATATTGTCACTAAGGTAATTATATATACCATACACTGTCACTAAGGTAATTATATATACCATACATTGTCGCTTAGGTAATTATATATACCATACACTGTCACTAAGGTAATTATATATACCATACATTGTCGCTTAGGTAATTATATATACCATACATTGTCACTAAGGTAATTCTATATACCATACATTGTCACTAAGGTAATTATATGTACGTTATATTGTCACTAAGGTAATTATATATACCATACACTGTCACTAAGGTAATCATATATACCAACCATTGTCACTAAGGTAATTATATATACCATACATTGTCGCTTAGGTAATTATATATACCATACACTGTCACTAAGGTAATCATATATACCAACCATTGTCACTAAGGTAATTATATATACCATACACTGTCACTAAGGTAATTATATATACCATACATTGTCGCTTAGGTAATTATATATACCATACACTGTCACTAAGGTAATTATATATACCATACATTGTCGCTTAGGTAATTATATATACCATACACTGTCACTAAGGTAATTATATATACCATACATTGTCGCTTAGGTAATTATATATACCATACATTGTCACTAAGGTAATTATCTATACCATACATTGTCACTAAGGTAATTATATATACCATACATTGTCGTTAAGGTAATTATATATACCATACATTGTCACTAAGGTAATTATATATACCATACACTGTCACTAAGGTAATTATATATACCATACATTGTCACTAAGGTAATCATATATACCATACATTGTCGGTTAGGTTATTATATATACCATACATTGTCACTAAGGTAATTATATATACCATACATTGTCAATAAGGTAATAATATATACCATACATTGTCACTAAGGTAATTATATATACCATACATTGTCACTGAGGTAATTATATATACGCTATATTGTCCGTTAGGAAATTATATAACCACGCTTTGAACAACTTGGTTCAAGTTTTGACATGTTTATTTCCGACGTTTATTTGCTTACTAACAAGTAGTTAAACTCGTGATCGATTTCGCCGAGATAAGTGGGATAACATCGCACAATGTATGTTATCTCGTGAATATTACTTATATAAACTGGATGTATATCAACATGCTTTAAATCGCATGCTATATCAACAGAACGACGCTGTGTGACACAATAATAATTTATCATTAATATAATGTTTGATAGGGAACTGCTAACAATTAGGGAATGATTTACACCCCCTGATATCAACTTCTCTATCAAACATTCCAAACAACAGCTTAGGTACATTGATATTAGATCGGATAAGAACGTCTATCTTATCGTGTATAAAGTTCGTAGGAACAGCGTAAAGGTAATATTCCCATTGTTAATATATAAGGATTCAACGGCATTTTTTTTCAGTTTCATGCTGGTATGGACGCAAATCGGTTACATAAATATTCAATGAAATCAATAACATACATATTCCATGAAATCGGTTACATATATTCCATGAAATCAACTTCATACATATTCTATGAAATCGATTACATGCAAACTCCATGAAATCGATTACATACATATTCCATGAAATTGATTACATATATATTCCATGAAATCGGTTACATGTATATTCCATGAAATCAATTATATACATATTCGATGAAATCAATTACATACATATTCCATGAAATCGATACCATACACTGTCACTAAGGTCGGTTACATATATTCTATGAAATCGATTACATGCAAACTCCATGAAATCGATTACATACATATTCCATGAAATCGGTTACATATATTCCATGAAATCAACTACATACATATTCTATGAAATCGATTACATGCAAACTCCATGAAATCGATAACATATATATTCTATGAAATTGATTACATATATATTCCATGAAATCGGTTACATACGTATTCCACGAAATCGATGACATATATTCTATGAAATCGGTTACATACGTATTCCATGAAATCGGTTCCATATATATTCGATGAAATCGGTTACATATTACATAAATATTCAATGAAATCAATAACATACATATTTCATGAAATCGGTTACATACGTATTCCATGAAATCGGTAACCTATATATTCCATGAAATCTGTTACATACATATTCCACGAAACCGATTACATATATTCTATTAAATCGATTACATACATTCTATGAAATCGGTTACATACGTATTCCATGAAATCGGTAACCTATATATTCCATGAAATTGGTTACATATATATTCCGTGAAATCGGTTACATATATTCCATGAAATAAACTACATACAGATTCTATGAAATCGATTACATGCATATTCCATGAAATCGGTAACCTATATATTCCATGAAATCTGTTACATACATATTCCATGATACATATTCCATGAAATAGGTTAAATATATATTCGATGAAATCGATTACATACATATTCGATGACATCGAATACATATATATTCCATGGAATCGGTTACATGTATATTCCATGATATCAATTATATACATATTCGATGAAATCAATTACCTACATATTCCATGAAATCAATTACAGACATATTCCATGAAATCGATTACATATATATGCGATGACATCGATTACATGTATATTCCATGAAATCGGTAACATATATATTCCATGACATCGGTTACATATATATTCGATTACATCGATTACATATATAGTCCATGAAATCGGTTACACACATATTCCATGATACATATTCCATGAAATCGGTTAGATACATATTCCACGAAACCGATTACATATATTCTATTAAATCGATTACATACATTCTATGAAATCGGTTACATCCATATTCTATGAAATCGGTTACATACAGATTCCACGAAATCGATTACATATATTTTATGAAATCGATTACATCCAAACTCCATGAAATCGATAACATATATATTCCATGAAATCTGTTACATACATATTCCATTAAATCGGTTACATATATATTCCGTGAAATCGGTTACATATTACATAAATATTCAATGAAATCAATAACATACATATTTCATGAAATCGGTTACATGTATATTCAATGAAATCAATAACATACATATTCCATGACATCGAATACATATATATTCCATGGAATCGGTTACATGTATATTCCATGATATCAATTATATACATATTCGATGAAATCAATTACATACATATTCCATTAAATCGGTTACATATATTCCATGAAATAAACTACATACAGATTCTATGAAATCGATTACATAAATATTCCATGAAATCAATTATATACATATTCCATGAAAACGGTTACATACATATTCCATGACATCGAATACATATATATTCCATGAAATCAATTATAGACATATTCCATGAAATCGATTACAGACATATTCCACGAAATCGATTACATATATTTTATGAAATCGATTACATCCAAACTCCATGAAATCGATAACATATATATTCCATGACATCGATTACATACATATTCCATTAAATCGGTTACATATATTCCATGAAATCGATTACATATATATTCTATGAAATCGGTTACATCCATATTCCATGAAATCGGTTACATACATATTCCACGAAATCGATTACATATATTCTATGAAATCGATTACATACATATTCCATGAAATCGGTTACATATATATTCCATGAAATCGGTTACATACATATTCCATGACATCGATTACATATATATTCCATGAAATCGATTACAGACATATTCCATGAAATCGATTACATATATATTCTATGAAATCGATTACATACATATTCCATGAAATCGATTACATATATTCTATGAAATCGATTACATACATATTCCATGAAATCGGTTACATATATTCTATGAAATCGATTACATACATATTCCATGACATCGATAACATATATATTCCATGACATCGATTACATATATATTCCATGAAATCGGTTACAGACATATTCCATGAAATCGATTACATATATATTCGATGGAATCGGTTACACACATATTCCATGAAACCAAAATATGTATGTTACCGATTTGCGTTCTTACCGGCATGAACATCTAAATTTAAAGTAATTATTAACATAAATACAGAAATTCCCTTATATCTTCTAATGTCGTGTCTATGTCGTCAGTGCAAACGACATTCAGCCTGGAACAACATAACGTCATCAAAATGTTTGCTTTTACGGCTGTCTCATGTTATTCGAGGCGGGAGGGAAAACCTCGAAAGGACGCTGATCCAATGGCGCACATAGAGTTATGAACGCAATTTCTTACGATAATGATTATCGAGGAACTTGCAGTGGAAGTGTAATATATTGTCTTTTCTCTGCCTTTTCACAGCATAAGATTCTTCATAGGCTCTTTCAAATAAACTTTTCAAACTACATGCCTATGACAACTGAAGAAAATGACAGTTGGTATCTGTTTAGTTTCTCTTTAAAATTTAACCCCAATTCAAATATCTGGCCATTTTAAAAGTAAAATATAAGTAAAAATAACATCATGTAAAATACTTTTCACCTATAGAGCATTCGTCATCAATCGTACTTACTTGGTCTGAATACAAATTGAAACAACATCCTATGAAAACTTTTGATTTCCTCTATCAAACACGAGACACCATTCATACTTACTGGGCCTTTTAAGTGGTTTCTTCTTTTCCTCGAGAAATTTGAACACTCGGTAGGCATTGTTGCCCCTTGTTGTACCCTCTGTTTTAACTTCTTCAACGTCCCCAAGACTATGCAGCGCACACCGGAAGTTCGCCTTCCATCTTTTAGGGTTCGGAGATTGGTCTTTCCTGTGCCGACCTGTTGATTAAAAAACACATGGTAACGTAAAAAATGTTTCCTCATAATGAAGTGTTCATGGGTTCATCTTCTTTCATTCGTGCTAGGGTCCACTCCTTAAGTATATATATAAGTACTTCATGTAGCGCCAGTAGCCTTCCCTTATATCCCTTCGAAACAGATCTAAATATTCGCTGTATCCTAGAATCTTAGGTGAATAAGCATAATGGACATGTTTGCATAACTAATGTATTAAGAATAACCAATTATTTATTATATATTTGTAGTTAGATACATATTCTCGATGATACTGTTCATATATGGTGATATACTCTCTGATTCATGAAAAAGTAAATACATGAAGCATGATCCCCCAGATATTAATATGTTTCTATCCGGTTTCTGTGCTAATTTTATATTATCTGACCACCCTGTATAACGGAGCCCAATAACCCAGCAGAACAGGTTGGAGCGTTAGACGACTTCGTTGCTTGGATATATTTGTGTGGAAAGCGTAAAGGGTATTCCTTGTTATTGGTGATTTCTAAACAAGCACAGTTAAAGCTGTTATAATGTCTCAATATTATTCTGTGAAACAGAATATGTTAACCTACCAACATACCAATATCTATTTCAGCAACTCCGAACAATATCATTAACGTTTGGCCAATTACGGTTAAATCCCATCTCAGTGTAGGTACTGGTGTACAACACGTTCGAACATGAATCATTCAAAGTACACATACTGTCCTGGTCTCTTGTCACCTGTTGATTCTCCAGCGTTTTACTTTATACGCCGGATAAAGTATTGCTATTATTATGGAAATCAACTGTTATGTTTACGCTGTCAAAACTTGAGACATCAAATTAAAAACCATAAATCCAAATTGGAGGTTATAAAATGTTCATCGAGGGGTGTATATACTCCTGATCTACATTTATTTTACTACCTCTTTCCGCCTATCACGGTTAAAGAAGTTTGACAAGCTCTTCATTACATTGAACATTACGGCTTTATATCATCTTAGACGATCCTTAGTAATTTATTGACCTCGATAGTTCAGACACCAAATTAAAGTTACTAAACCACAAATGTTGATGAGATTGATTTATCAAGCCTGCAATGTACACCGTTTTTTTATAACCTCAATGTAATGGTCACGTGAAGGGGTCAACGTTCGGTCTTTGAAAACAACTTCTGAGTATAATTAGCCACTGTTAACGTTTGCATCATCACAAAACATGAATTTTTTTTAAAAACTTACGGTTTTGTATTGATACCAACGTTTACAGTGGCCAATACAGGTATATCATAAGGTCTTCCTTAGGATGGAGAATCAATATAATCCATCTTTAAGTGAACGATTACACGGAGGCTGGTCCTCCGTTTCGGAAAGGTGCAATTGCGTATAACAATATATTTTTCAATATCATTGTGTAGCTACAATACAAATAACCTGTTTTGTCATCCAGTCCTAGATATTTTGATGCTGAAGGGAGTTACGGCACTTTTTTACGATTTTCAGTCGTAAAATAAGAACAACAAAATGTGTGCAAGAGAGAATGCTCCATTTTAAAACAAGGCTTGTTAAACAGGTGGATGCTAGCTGGTTGTTACCGAAGATTTCCCGACAGCACTTTTATATTAATTTTAAGCTGTATGTTTTTATGTAAGAGAGAATGCTCGTAGAAAAATGTTGATAATTTTAAAACAAGGCTTGTTAAACAGGTGGATGATAGCTGGTTGTTACCGAAGATTTCCCGACAGCACTTTTATATTAATTTTAAGCTGTATGTTTTTATGTAAGAGAGAATGCTCGTAGAAAAATGTTGATAATTTTAAAATAAGGACTGTGAAACAGGTGGATAATTGATGGTTGTTACCGAAGATTTTGAGACAGCACCTTGGTTTTTATTAAGCTATATTATTAGTATAATTATGTAAAAATCATGTGTTTTTATCAATGTACTTTCTGAAAATGTCATTTGTTTCACATTTTTTAATAGAACATTACACAGTTACATAGGTCATTGTTTTTTTTAAATAATCACGTTAAAACTGAGTACCATTCTGTTGTATTTTGTCATATGTTTCTGGCAGTTATAGGCTTTCACTTTAACAATCAATTATCATGAAGAGATTTTCAGATAGGAAGTGAACGATATCCAGCAACTACGTTTACAAAATCCAAGTTGTTGTCTCGGGATGGTTGTGGGTATAACTGGTAATTGATGTACTTTTTTGTTTTGTTGAAAATGCAATGTATCGAGATTGTAGATTAAATTGTTTAAGTATAAATTACCGAAAAAATGTATGACGGATTGAAAAATCTTCTTTAAACAAAACTTAAACCTCTTCCTAACTAAAATGTATGATGTTAGCCAGGTCAGTATATTTATATACTATTTTGATACTAGAGTAATTCTATGTTAACAGAATTATAATGTCTTTTTATTTAAATACTATATAAATACAGATTCAATGCTATGAATTTGTATTCACAAATCCAAATATTTGATATTTATTTCAATACATTATATGACAAAATGTTTTGTTCGTAAAACAAAATGTTGATTTATTAGACCATAGTTCACAGTAAATTATTTAATATGCTTTAGTGTATTCACAACAGCAAAATAAAATAAATTATAGATTTTGTTACGCTCAAAGTAATGAAAGATATTGACTGAAAGAGAAATGTGCGGTAAGTAAATACACATCATAGACGTGTATAAAATAATTTGATAATTTCAACATATCCATTAATGGAACAGGTACAACCAAAGCAATGCAAGACACTTTATACTGTAATTAAAAAATGACATCCATCCAAAAGAAAATATTACGACCGATATCACGTTTTGATGAGTATATCTGAACATGGATAAATCGATTCAAAACTGTTTAGAAATTATATATTTAGAGAAATCAAGTTTAATTTTCTTTATGGTGGTCAATATTGAAATTAATATCGGGTTCATATGAAGTTTAAGTTATTAATTAAGCTGAAATTTTACCAAATCATCAACACACAAGAGCATAATCGGGACAAATAAGTCGACACGCATAAAATAACGAGAACCGCAAAGATAGCAAAATAAAATTAGATACATTATGAACCCCACAAAAACGGATGTGAAATCAGGGAGATGTTCATTTCAAATAAAGTTTGGCACATTTCTGAAAGAAATACACACATTGAACCAACGAAAAATCACTATTTAATTCATGTTTTCTTGGAAACGTTCAAGTACACAACTGTGCTTTCACAAATGTTTAAACATCCAAAATACATAAATATAATAACAACTACCAACTGTTTCGGTAATGTACCGATTCAGCATCACTGACGTTTAAAAGGTCAACTAAATAGGAACAGTTTGTGTTGTTTTATTCTGCTGTAGATTTCGTGCTGTTTGAGATATGATTGTCAAAACATGCAAACGTTTTTCTGGAAAATATTTCATTTTCTAACCAGGGTCAAACGATATTTGCAATTTTAGTAGTACAAACTCTATGAAACAGGAACCATCAATTCTACAATGTTCACATTGCTTTCCTGTAGTTATTTATGCAAATCAATGACTGTTCATGGCGGATAAATTGTTTTATAACGTCGAATGCCGAATCAATCTTTCACAGAACATGCATAATTTATGATGCATAAATGATACACTTATGTAAATCTGTTACCTTACATCATTAACAGAATTGAGTTATATAGCTTAAGGGGCAGGGACTAGGAAAAAGTTTGTTTATATCTGTTGAAAGTAGAAAAGATTTCGGGGGAAAGCAGTGAAAATATGGTGTATGTAACTTACATGCCCAATATTGATACTTTATTAATTCATTTTCAACAGGTGGTTTTCAATATATCATATCCACCATACTCAATAAAAATGCTTTCAATTAATTAATTATTTTTTATTAAAGTATTTTAAAATGTCAAAACATTCTTCGCCGAGAGGCATGGCAGTATAATATTTCAAACAGTTTGGAAATATTTCCTATCTTCAAATATATATAATATATATACTCATTCACGTAGACTTTATATGCTAAATAAACACATTTTACCATGCACAAAACACAATAACATGTAACAAGAAATACAGCGAGGAATTCAGGTAAATTATTTCTAGTTTACAATGTTGACTTTAAAACGTTGTAATATGCCAAGGTAATTAGATTTAACATGTTAATCTTTATTACATATATTTTAAAAATGCAAAACACTTTTTTTGTTTTAAGGTTTTATTTTGATTTTTTTCTGAGTGAGAATGAATCATGCTGACATGTCAACAAACTGCACAGTAATTCAATAATAAAACATTGAATTAATGACACGAAGATTTATTTTAAAAGCGGTAGGTTAATGAGATTAATGTAAAAATTAGGCTCTTGGAAGTAAATATTGAAATACGATCTAATACATAAACACTTGTCAAAGTTTTTGAAGTAAGCTGTATTTGTTTCTCTGAGTACACTAGTCTTTAAAACGTGTTTAAACAATGTGATATTGAAGTGAGCCAAACAGTGTTTTACAACCAAAAAGTTAGGTAATAGTATTTTAATAAACAAATATTTGTCTTTTAAATAATGCGATGTTGGTTTGTGCCAAACACTTCCAAATGGATTTAATAACGAACGAGGGAAAAAAAATAATAATTGAAAAAACAAGCAAAGACAAAAAACATACGAATACTGAATATATAAACACATATTTTAAAACTGACAGAAAGAAAAAGGAAAAAAATCCAAAAGTATTAGGATATGCTTTCTAAAAATATAACTATAAACACTGATGTTTGTGTGGGCCTCATATTACCCAAACCTGGCATCCTAGAAGAAGGAATAAAAACTATTCACGAAGAAGATTTCTCTACATCTGTACATTTATTTAATTTCGAACAGATTATGTTATAAAAAGAGTACAAAGGGATTAGAGAAAAACTTGTGTAAAATATCGTACATATACAAATGTACATAGGTTAAGAGGAAATCAAATACTAAGGGTTAAACGACATGTTATATTAATTCATATTGCTCTCTCTCTGTGGAAAAAGTATGCGATATTTTTAACAACAGCTAAGGATCAAATTCAGAAAGTTGTTAGAAGAGAGTAGGTAGGTAGGGTTCGATACGAACTCTTGGTCCTGCTTGATCAGACTTATATCCTCAGGAAATGCAGTCCATACTGATACAAAAATTAAATGATATCAAAGATTTTTCGCACTCGGTTTTTGATATATGGTATAACCTGTATTTATTTTCTAACAAGCATAGATTAATCAACAATATTAATACGACCCCGAAGCTTTATTTTGTTACAAACTCTGAATTTTCAATCAATACAGTTGAATAGTCCTATTCACTCATACATTTACATTGTAGTATTAGTCCATATCATATTTATTAGTTTATAGTTAATATGTTAAACAGCATCAAATCTTTGACAATGTAACACAATTTCATTAAGTATAACAATTATGACCTGGCCTCGAAACAAGAAAAAACCCACCAGTCGGATTTTTTAATGATCACATTTCCTGAAATTTACTTGAAATGATAAAACCACATCACATCTTGTTTGAACACAGTTCATAAACTGCGTTAAATCGAACTCAAGAACGTAAGAGGGGAAACGTAAAATTTACGAACGGTAGGACTTTTCTTACAGTTAAGATGTTTTGTGTTAACAATGTGACAAGTTGTTTACACTCGCAAACATAGACGGGAAACAATGAGGTTATGGGGAAATATAAATAATAATTCTCACCTGCAAATCACATTATTAATGACAATGTTACAATCCATGCTACCTTGACTTATATGCGTGCAAGCCTGTAGCACCTTTGTTTTAATACTGAATATGTTCTAATACTAAATGCATAACAGCATTTTCTAAAGTGAAAATAGATTTCACGGAAATTTGTGATTTCTGAGAAACAGAAACTAGGTCGGCTATAAATGATTTTAGAAAATATTTCGACGATGATCTTAAGTAGACAGAAGCGATTTTCGAAAAGTGTTATATTATTTCAAGCTTAATGAAAACCTAACTGTGTACGTCTCAGTGTAAAATTTTATAAATTCTGTATAAATCTTTACAAATTCTATGTTAATGATTCTGTGCAAAACCGAAATCATGGAAATATTACTTAGAATTCAAGTTGATATAAGATATTATTTAAAACGAAATATTTACTAAACACATATAATTCGTTTTTAACCTCAAGTTAAGACACATAGAATCCAAGGATAACAGTGTCAGTACAAAATATACATTTTAGTGATTGATATTATGCACCTAAAACTACAACCATACTAATGCATTACATGTTATGTGAACTAAAAATAGACTTATTTTTTGATAGTGTTTAAGCTTAACATAATGATGCCAACATTTTAATCCAAAACAAAATTAATATTTTTGATTAGAATCAGTCGATAACAGCAGATTTTGGAAATAGTTCCCACATGCACTTGTGTACATCTCTGCATGAAATTCTGTGTATTTGTTAAATCTTACAGCTATCGGATGTATTGATTTTATATATTTTAATATTCCATGACAAATTTTGTTTATTAACAAATTAATTAGATAACTTATATTAAATATACTAATGGTCAAATTATAAAGTTTTAAATGCATTTTTAGTACTGAAAGTCAGTGCAACATAACAATTATTTCTTCATGATATTAAATCCGCATATTTTGCATAATAACACTCCCAAATGTTGTTTGTTATATTTTCCTATAAAAATTACTGGATTAAGTCTGACTATGAGCATGAATTGGTAACTAATTTTATATCATTTAGCCAGTTTTTTTCCCCACCCACTATTGACCTTGATTTAAATAGATATTTATCAATTCACTATGGTACCCAATCTTAAGATGGATTTTTCATTATAAATAGCCTTCAGCTCCAAACCAGAAGAAGGAATATGCTTTAACATCAGCATAACAAAATCAGTATTAACTTTTTTATCTTTAAAAAAAAATGAGTAATATTTTCATGTTTGTATTTTGATAAAGGGTCAGATTGACTAGAAAATTTGACAAATTTTATTTGGGTGTCAGCCTAGAGGCTGGCGGTACATATGATCTGGATGTATGTGCTTTAGCCTGCGTCCAGTATTATTAAAATATCATTATTATTATTATTATTGCCACAGTGACCATAACATGTGCTTCTTTGCTTACATTTGTTTATACACGGTTATACATTTAAATCTATTAAAAACAACACCCATTCCTTTCTGCCTGGAATATATTGTTTGTACTGGTGCACATTAAATTAAATATAATAAAAACGAAAAGATTTCCTTTGAATTTGTTGCAATCAGGTTTTGTTTTTTTGTTGGATTTTTAAAAAAAAAAATATTTGAATATTATGTTCTCCATAAAAAGAAGAGACAACGCTTGTGCGCAAGATATGTGCATATGATAAATAAATAAATGAAAAAAAAAATCAACACACAAAGATAAAATCTTAATGCATAACATCAACAAGGCAAAGAGAAGACCCGACACGGTAAGATATTTGTACCTGTATGGATGGCATAAAGCTCGAAGACATTGGCGTCTTTGTTGATATTCCAGCCATTTCTGGCCCCATGCTTCCAGTTGATCCTAAATGTGCTCTGGTCCCGATCCTCCCAGATTAACCCGTCTGTCTTTTTTTTATTGAGTAATTCAATGAGCCAGGGACGCATCTTCTGTCGCTCCACAGGACGCTTTCCCCTAGTGCTGGGTTCAAGCTCTAAAGTTGTCATGTTTTTTTTGTAAAATCTGCAAAACAATATAACTAGTGTTATGATCAGAGTGACACACACTTAAGCTTGGCTATCATACATATATAGAACATATTAAGTCAACCCAGGAAATCAAATATTGTCTACAGTAATATCCACCGGCAAAACTTCCACCACCAACCAATGTTTATAGCTACAAACATTACTATACACTATCATTAGATAGATATGGAGGAAAGTTTTATACATTTAGTTGCAATATCATAACTATAGTTGTGAGGTGTTCATTGTTATGAGGTCCGTATTGACCAATATACCACTGACCACTGCCCATTCAGCTGATTAGCCCTACCTGTTTACCCTCGAACACGCGCATACCAGACTGACTCGTATACAACATGTACGGCGGCTCTTATTTACATTGGTATCGTATTTCCGTGTATGTATGGAAATCAATACGGGACCTATATCATTTTATCACATACATGTATACTACGTTTATGATATGAAATAAGTTCGAGCGCTATTTTCAATTGGTTGTATTTCTGCAAATTCAGATAAATCTGAAAGTATTCCACATGTTAATCACGCAAGGGCAAAATATACCACACAATAGCCAAGTAGGAGCCTAAGGTCAATACTAATGGAACAACAACCGGAATTGAGAAAACAACGAAACAAAAGGGAAGACATCATGAAACACCAAGACAAAACAATGTGTTTCAGAAGTGTGAGCGTTTCCTGTTCCATGTAAGGCACCCTTCAAACTTTCTTCCATAAAATCTAGGAAATTATGTTCGCCAATTATAAAATGCATAGAGAACATATGTTAAATCATGGCAGAAACTAGAATTCCATAAATGACACTAAAATGTCTTTCGTGTTAAATTGTTCCTCTCGAATACACAAACATTTGAAATTCGAAGACAAAAGTGCCTTACTAAAAGTTTAGTATGCTAATGCCGAAATCCAAATACACAGATTACATTAGTGTTTGGTTCAAGAATGACAAAAGATATCATACAAAACAACAGTTGAGTAAACTTGTGAATGTAAAATTATAGAATAAATTCATTTGATAGAATATATGTGTTAATTGATTCATTGAACTATGGACTCTATGGACATTAAATCACCACGATTTATTTTTTTATTTTTGCTGTTGCAAACGATTTAATCTCGATGAGACTTTGCAAATCTGACTCTTTTCATGTTTAGATGTTTGTGAAGGTAACTTGCGACTTTACTTATATCGAAATTGATACACAAATTTGTTTATGTAAAAAATACACGACATCTGTTATTAAATTATATTAATTTGCAGAATTTTAACGTAACTGTTATTGATTTATTTAAACTAAGGACAGATGGTGCAATTGTGCACGTATGATCGCTATGAACTGCCATACTATTTTCTCTGCACGCCATCTTGGAAGTCACGAGTAAACATCAGTTAACCGAGATTATCGAAATAATATTATCTGTGATAAAATATGTATGTCCTTATGACCAAAACACTGATACCCGATTATTTATAACCATAACAAAATATGGATAAGACTTATTTTAGTAATTATATTTCAATATTTACTCCCTGGTTTCTTAATGGGATTTCCTTTCCATTTTTAATGTCATTTCTATTTTGATAATATGTTATTATTATTTTTCAAGCAACCCTTCATTGTTCATTTATGTTAGGTGTATCTAGGAAACAATCATTATTTAATAACCTAAATCAAGAGTGGTGACTTAGAGAAGCATATCTCGTCGAAGCAGCTGTTGGCCATAAATCGCCGCCAGATTGATTAGTTTTGCCGTTAGATATTTTTATTCCCATGACAAAATGTAAAGAGTGTTAAACAAAAGGAATGTCGGGCAAAATTCAGGTTTAAATTTTCATGAAAAATATACGCGAAATGATACTACGACAATTACCACATTAGTGAACGTAAATACTAGTAACGCTTTGGTTTTGTAAGTGACATATTCTTTTTCAAAATGTCCTAAGTTAAAACATAAAAATCGATCACATAGCAACATGTGCCCGAGGAAACACCAAAACAGAAGGCATGACCTCATGTACCGGAGGTGAATCCCTGTGTTCACGAAGATTTAGTGTTTTCTTCACCATGTTAAATTGTTTCTCGTTAAATTGAATATTGTGCAGGATTTATCATGTAGGTTATCTGTTGTTTCATTTGAAATTAATTATACAATAGGGATATCAAGGAGACAAAATTCTTAACTTAATATGAGATAATGTGGCTGTAAACTGATGGTCAGTCACATGATGCTGTAAATATACTGTCCAAAAATGCTAAGCTAAGTTTTTAATCCTATAATATCACAGGTCGACATTTTGCTGCATTCATGTGACTTCATCAAAAATAGTCAAGAAAAGGCGAGATATGGATACAAAAGTCACGTAGCACCACTAAAAAATGGCCCCGTAATGGTCCCAATGAAGGTCTATTTCTTGAAATACACAGAAGGTTTTCCTTACTTGATATGCATATTGGACAACTTTTTATATGCGACATAAAAACTTTTTTCCCAGCATTTTGATCAAATTAACAAGGCACTTAAAATAAACCAATCTGTGGCGAAATATGGACACCAGATCTTTATTAAAAATTAACCATCATTTATATTATCAACATTTTCACACAATCAGAGATTTTTGACAAAAACAATTCTTTCCTGTTGATGTTATACGTATTTACGAGTATTCGCACTCATGACCATATAAGGAAATCTGACGAATCAGTGAATACAAAATTATGATAGTTTTAAATACAAAGCACTTTCTTGTTAACATTGAAATTTCCGTTTCGCAAAACAATTTCTTACAAAGAAATTAAACATGTTTCTAGAGACAAACATTATTGATCTGCATTGAAATTGCGCCAATTCAAGTCAAAATTCTGAAATGCCACTTTCCGCATTCATTTTTTTTATAAAACTGATAACTTCTTTTATATGACACTTCCTTGTGAAACAAAACCCATATTAATACTAACTTCACATTACTGTGATTTTTTTTTGATTTTTTTTATTAATATTTTCAATTTTCTTATAAATTTCGACAGTGTGCTTTCGACCTTAATATAGCTACTTTTTCACATATGCTCACGAAAGGTGGGGTAAACAGCTAAGAAAAATTAGTCTTGATTCCAGTTTAGATTGTTTTACTTCGTGTGTATAAGTGTATAAAAAAGCTTTAGAGTTTGTGGCTTAAAATCAGAAAAGAAATATTTTCATAAAAATTGAAGGACAAATAGGACCTCCTAGGTTAACACCTCCGACACTGTAAAAGTCCTGCTACAAAGTTCTTAATCTGTCAAATGGTAAAAGTGTTCGTTACTGTTATTTGTCATGAGGCAGAGTAGTACAATTCAATTATCATTTTGAAACAAAATAAGTGGGATTTTTTTGTTGAACAAAATATTTTCGCTTTAACATTTTATTCAGAAAAAATGTGAAGATGGAATACGCCATAAAACACCTTCCAATTTGTACAGTTATACTTACCTAGATCCATCGGATAGGAAGTTTTAAAGAAGTTGGACAATATCAAAATAGCAACATGTGGAATTTCAAACATATGAAAAACGGGTATATTTGTCATTAGGTGAATTAGAGAGAAATAAAATGTTGTTTGAACCTGTTTTCGTTAAATAAACAATTTGTTTTGAGAATCAAGTGGAACAGAATCTTGCTATCTAAACTGAAGCTTGCTAACGAAAACCTTATCAAATCTGTAGGAGGAACCTTGTATTGATGCGAGACATTGATACGTCATGCATAATACCTTATAATTAATACGGACATGGGGAATGAGACAAGGATACCACATGGTGCTACATGATTCTTGTGACCCTGGTGCAAGATTATGGAATGACCGAGTGAGTGACAGGTTATAAGGACAACAAACACATATTTTTAAACATGAATTTATGTACATTCCAAAAATGTGTTCAAAAAAATATTATATATATATATGGGAAAATTGTGGCTGAACAAATACAAGTGCCAAATTCAATTTTCAATTACGAAAAAGTATATCCTTTTGCAGAAAATACCTTCCTGGATGTTCATTTCTTTTTAATACCGATGAAGAGCACTTGTATTGTATATACCCAGTATTGTATATGCCCAGTATTGAATATGTCCAGTAGTGTTTATGGCCAGTATTGTACCAGTATTGTATATACCCAGTATTGTATATGCCCAGTATTGTTTATGCCCAGTATTGTATATGCCAAGTATTGTTTATGCCCAGTATTGTATATGCCCAGTATTGTAAATGCCCAGTATTGTATATGCCCAGTATTGTTTATGCCCAGTATTGTTTATGCCCAGTATTGTATATGCCCAGTATTGTTTATGCCCAGTATTTTATATGCCCAGTATTGTTTATGCCCAGTATTGTATATGCCCAGTACTGTATATGCCAAGTATTGTTTTAAATTAAAAAGAAGGCAGTAGATATGAATTTATGACTGAAAAAATGAATAGTTTTGTCTTCTTTTGAAAAATTACTGTATTTCTGCTTACAACAATTTCGTATTTTATTGATTTTCATAATTGTGTTTAAATGTATAACGGACTTTATTTTATCTACAGCTACTGATTTTATTAATATGTCTCTATTTAGGGTAGTAAAAAACTTCAAGGAATTGAAATAGAAGCCGAATATTTACCCGAACTGTTCTACCTTAAATATTTATCTACTTTTCAATGTTATTATTTTCAATTCAAAATACGCCACTTTGGACCCATACAAACTATGATAACCTTCGAAACCGAAACGTGCATTATTACAGAGTCCAAATTACTACCAGTTGTCATACTCAGGGGAAAAGCAAACGAATAAGCATTATAATCAAATATAGATTTAAAAAGGATGGTATGGCAGACCGTACGTACCGCTGGAGGACCAAGTATGTACAAAAGCCAGCAACAATTGTTTTCTTTTAGATTATGACTTTTAAAATGATCTTTGTTTCTCTATTTTCATCGAGTCGATGCCGAGTAACAAAACATTTAACACTTTAGACAAGTGCAGCAAAGATTGATATATCAAAAACTGTCAAATATGTCTAATGAAAACTTGCGGTATCTGCTGCGGATAGGGCGTTACTTACATAAGATAATATTTACATTGGATTTTATTACTTTTAATTGTAGGAAAATAAATTACTTTGTATCAGTGGACGACTACGGGACAAACTTGGCTTCACTTAATTTTTAATAACTCGGAATTTTCTTACCTTAATGCTGAATTCATTTTTAGCTCAAATTAATTCATATTTATGACCAAACTGAAATATTTTTAGTAAGCCAACTAGTACCTGGGCACATTTTACTTTTAATATAACCGTTTTATCGTGCAAGTTATTTAATGCAAGATGGTGTTTGACACCTGAAATATTATGTTTTATTTTTGAACTTTGTAACACTATTCATACTGTGTGTATACTGGAACACTAATAAATGTTTAATAACATACGATCCGTTACAATTTGTTCAAGACAGGGATGGAAAGGGTGGTACCCGTGTCTTATCACGCTTAACGAAATTTAATTTTAACCTTTCTCTGAGTTTTTTTGAATTTGTACACAAAAGAGAAGGTCAAAACACGCCTCCCTGTAGACCACGGTTATTTAATTCATGATTTGAATCGACTTCGAGTCAGTACCTGGCGACGGCCCCACGTGGGTCTTGGACCCATGACCAAGTGGTGGAGGAATAGTGATAGTAGACAGACAGACATCTTAACCACTCGGTCACCACCCCTTTAATCCATTTACCCATGAAATATTATAATGAACTATTCCAACCTTTCAATAGGAGGAGTTGAAATGTGTCTTCATGGTTTAATGAGTTAATTCATGAAATGTAAAGACAAAATGGACCACCCTAGAGAACACTTGTAAACACAGGTGAAGTGGAGCTTGTCTCATACTTTAACTTCTTACACGTACATGTACATACGCATAGTCATGAATCCATAATTGTTGTTCTTCATCTTTGAAACAAAATACAATGAAGGTTACCAAAATGTTCGAAAGCACATAACAGTCATATTGGTTGTTAAGAAAATTATATTTGAAACTATTGCTAAGAGAACGAATCTCGTAATATTCCATTCCAAACGATAATTATAAAAACACGGCTTCATTTAATTGCTAATGTCAATAAACTGTTATCCATATCAAAATGAACAATATATGCTAAAAAGCAATTAAAATTTGCAGTTTTGTTTCCGGTATTACTTGGTCCAGTTGAGCACGTGTAAATTGAATAGATGGCTAGAAAGCTTTCCCTTAGACAAGTATATGTGTACATAATTACTGGTACATGTTCATCTCTAACCAAATAAATGAGAAATCTTAAAAGTTTATCTACTGGAAATCAAGATGTTCTTCGATAGTCATTTGATGGTCACCTGCCCGACCACATGGGGTTTCTCCGGGTTCTCCGGTTTCCTCCCACAATGAGACTCCCCGCGCGCTAACATCCGGGTCAACAAGATTAAATTATACAAATTTAGATAAGCTGTTTCATAATTGTTGTAAACTAAATATAGTTTATATTACAGTTTATTATTATGTTCATTTGACGAAATTGAACACGAAACATCTGAATAAATATTTACGATCGCTAGACTATGCAGAACCAAACTAAACGGTGATTTGAAAAATACGACGATTATATCTAAAAGCCTACGTTAAGTAATGTAATCGATTAATAGCCGAAGGATCGATTGGTTTATAAGTGGCGTGCAGGGAGCTGGTACACGCTGTATATAAAAGCAAAACGCACCTTACTCAATCTGCACTATTAATCAAAATAACTGATCAATGCACCACACTTTAAAAGTTGAAAACAAGCGCCACATACAACACAAACAAACACAAACAATAAAATTATAACAATCGTAGTTCCTCCCGTTTTAACCTCTTGTTAGCCTATATGACTATAGCATTCTTTTTTTTAAATCTGACACTGTGTATATATCAATTCACATAATGCTACAACCCTTCATATGTCTGTAACCATCAATATTGATGATTTATTTTTATTTGCCATTTTTTTGCCAGATAAATGTTGACTTCAGATAATATTTAATTCACACTGCCTATTCAGATATTCACCATAATTAGGGAAAGCCCGTCTGAACGCTCGGTGATGCGATATATTTCTGTTTCTATTGAATTGTCATCGTGGTTTTGTCATCAAATCACTTATGTAACTACAAATATGCAAAATACAAATGACATCCTCCCAGTGTAAGTTAGCAACTGTAGAAAAATACCCTATGGATCACAGGGGTTCGTTATAAATGTCTGAAATACACATGCTTATCCCTGTGTATGGATTGACATTGCAGTAATGATATCAACAATATGTATTATGCATTGAAAATTTAACAAATTATACTTAGAAATGTTAGGAAGTTTCTTGTCAACATATACAAGACACATCATATGCATGCACCACTGTCAATAAGTATCCTTACCTGGTCAGTACTGTTACAGATGAACTACCCACCAGAAATAGTTGCCTCTGTATATATTTTGTACTGCAAAAATCAGCGCGCGCTTGGAGTTCTCTCCCCTTTTCCGAGAAAACGTCTCTATTTTTAGATCCTTCAGCTTTCAAAATGCAGTAGGAATGATTTTTGTAAGCAGGCCTGTTTACAGGAAGTGCGTATCGCTAGGTGGTCGTCTGGTAAACACGATGTGCCCTAATGATTTACACATATACAGACCATTGTCGAGTGCAATATACATGCTTCATTATTCAGCACAATTACATCCAAGTTTTTCATTGACGTTGTCTGACGGAGGGGCCAGAAAAGGGTAGTCGATTGGCGATTACAAACTGTACAAATGGCTACCGATTACGTAACGAACCAATCAAGGCCATGTTTACATGGTGTTGTGACTTTTAGGGCAAACAAGATGCATCCTAGCAGTAATCGATCAGGAGTGGTCAGCATAAAAATGTTACAGAGGAATAACAATTTAGTTTAAAATGTCTTTTTAATTAAATATATATTCTGGTTCTGATATTTTGTTTTTAATTTAATTAGGCCTACCATGTACATTGTAGTTTGTTGTGGCGGTTTTTGTCTGGAAGGTGAATTTGGGAACACACACAAAAATGTGCATTCGCACATTACAAATATATTCCTGAAGTATCCATGTAGTCACTAAACAAATATATATATATAACGAAGAAAACTATAAGGATTAAAATGCTTCAAATGCCCAGAATGATGACATGCAATTATTGAATATATCACAACTAAGCACAAAGCTAAGAAGGCTGACTGAAGATAAAAATAACATACATGTTTATATCTGTTCTTTCTCATAGCAGAGCATTGTTAGCTTTGTGATAAGTTGTGATGTCAATATTCTGGACATTTCAAGTATTTTCTTACAATTTTTACGATAATGGTAACTACACGGACACTTCAGAAGAAAATTAACATGCACTCTTTTTCTTTATTTGTACTATTCAATACCGTGCGTGTGCACAACATTTCTGTGTTAAATGTCACGTTTCAGCCAAAAATAACAATATATTGAAGAAAAAAAAGTTTCTTCAGTGATGATATAACTTGTTTATGTTTTTCTCTTTTCACAATTTCCAAACTTTTTACTTCCATCCTGTTCATTTATTTCTATTGAGAGGAAAATGATTAGCACAACAAATTGTATACACTGACATGAGCCTGTATAACATACGTTAGTCAATCAACCCTGTACGTGACTGATCGATGGATGTGCATGGTACCGGCCACTATAGGGTTGAAATGGTTGATTTTGTTACCATATCTATTTTCTATCGAAATGAAAATGATTGAATGACAACTGCACCAATGGGGCCTTTTGTTCACATGTAATTATCCTGCTGGTTATGTGTTTTTCACTGATAAGTCGTAAGGCTCAAGTAAATAAAGAACCTGGACTTTGAAAAATCAATTTATATGTGCAATATGGCTCTGTGTGGTCATGCGCAGTGTCCGTGATCATGTGTGTCGTCATTGCTAGGCTCCGAAGGGATTCGACGCTTAACAGGACAGATAGTTTTTCAATCTTAAGAAACAACACGAGACGCGTACAATGTAGCTGCCTATACGCTGACAGCAGGTGAATCCGCCAAACTATCTATACGAAAATGAAATAAAACAAAAACACTGCTCTTTGCACCCCTTTCAAACCCAAGCAAGGCCCTGTCCTGGACCTGCTCCTGAATGAACCATTCCGGATAAGGGCTATACAGCTACGCCCCTTGTACCAAAAGTTAATTTCTATAAATGCGATCCAAAATATTTTGTATTTTGACAAATTAGAGCATGGATAAATAATGAAATACAAATCACTGACGTTCTGCGACACAAAATATATAAGTTCGGCTAATTCAAATTGTTTCTCTCTCTTTTTTTGTTAGGATTTTTTTCGTTCTCCTGATTTATAAGGGAATCAACTTTAACTCTCGTAGGCGTATTACGCCGAAATATCTCACGAGGGCGAGAAGAGTCGCATAGAATATGGAAAAACGAGTGGAGAAATATATCACAATATTAAAATGTATGCGATATTATTGCGTTTCCATTATTTATATTACGTTCCAATTCTATCTTTGATGAAAATAATAATAATAATAATATACAGCATTTATATAGCGCCCTATATAATTTGTAAAATTACTCTAAGGCGCTTTACAACATATGGATAATAGTAATGGTTATAATTGTGAAACCAAACAACAAAGGCTTGCAATCACTTTCATACATTTAACAAGCAATGTGCACATAATTGAACAAATAAAAGGGTGGTATTTACATGACGTCTTTGCAAAGATTCTAAAATGCAGACGATAAGAGGTGAGTTTTTATGTCCCTCTAGCACTTGGCCAGGGTATTCGACCTCCTAATAGCAGATGGTAAGCTATTCCACAACGTAGCCGAAACCCTCCCAAAGCATCTGTTTCCGTAGGTCACAGTTCGAGATTTTGGGACACACAACAAAGATTCTGACTCCGACCGCAGTGATCTTGACGGCTGATACAGGGTAACAAGTTCCTGTAGGTACTGAGGAGTTGTTCCATTCAGTGCCTTCTATGTGTATACCAGAACTGTAATATACTGTTATACATTTTTTCATGAAATGTACAGTTTGTTTTGCTTTCGATACCAATGACTTGATTTTGCCCTTACTTCACATTGACTGATCAAGAGCCGGATATTTATTACCGTATTTGGTTTAAGTTTTAATAATTCTCTTGGGAAATTCCGGTAGAAAGTCAAATGACACTTTTGGCAGACGACACCGACACACATATAATACAACATTACATCGTGATGGTAAGTGTTTTCTTTAGAGACTTTAATTTTTACACTCTATGCGTACAATCATCCTACTCTTAAAAACCTATCATGAAGCGAAATGGATTACCAATGGCCGGGAATCGACCTCACACAATTCAATAGTCCGAAATGCACGAAAACGAAAGTATAAAGTTCTATGAAGGTCCTTGGGAGAATAAATGATAAATGATTTAAAACTAAATATCGAGATAACTTAGTCTTAACAAAACTATAATCGTATGCGTAATAACGAGATGATTGACGTCATCAGAACGAGATGATTTAGCTCGTTAAAGCGAGATAGCCTAATTTGTAATAACTCATATTATAAAAAAAATCATGCTTGTTTTTTAAATTGTTTTGTTTTTAAACTCCGAGTGCTTAGTTGTCTTACCTTCTGTAATCTCTGCACTAGCGTGATAGGTTCTAATAGATTTGGCGTGCTATGAGTAGCTATGGGTTATTGGCTCAATATGCGTGTGTGTTAGGTGGGGTATGCATTCGCCTCCTTGCGATAGCGTGGATCTGATGACCACTGGGCAACGCACTAGGAAGAAAAAATGTGTTGCGGAATCAGAGAAAAAGTATACATATATATAGATATCATAAATGTTGAAGCGGGTGCAGTAGATTCAGTTTTTGTCGCTTTTGTGTTCCCAAGTTTTAGGGCACACAATCCAATCCTTTAAATCTGGAACGGACTCATTCATTACCTCTAACAACATACAGAGAGGAATTATCTTTCCTTATTTTTACTTATGTGTGTACGTTGTTATATATATTTATGAAATTGCATTTCATCATTTTGCCTGCTTACTTTGGTACGTTGATTTTGTTCATTATAAAATTACTATACCAGGCTGCATGTCATGAATTTTTGTATAATTTGTAATTTATTCAAATGCGTATCCTTACAATAAAGGGACATCACGTCAAAAGGCGTTTTTTTTTTTAATGAATGTTTGTATTGTATGCACTTCCACTTATGTTACCTCGCTATCCCCATATTCATAGTCCGTTCCAAATGTCCAGTTTGACCACTTGAATTGTTCGGGAAAGCCCTGCTAAAAATAGCGCCGATAATGTCACCTGACTATGCAGTAAACACAAGTGGTGCGAGCGAGATGAAACGGTTTCCAAAGGGGCCCCCAGAGAGGGGCCGTCAGGCAACTGCAACTTCTTACCGCACTATGAAACCAAGTTATATGATTTTTAAGTCCGTATTCAAACTTATTGAACAGTAATTATTCATTATTAGAAGTTAATTGCACACTTGCCAAAGTTCAGAATTAAAATTTATTTAGCTTTAAACATAAATTTGTTGCCAATAAAATTAAACAAGGGATGGGTCACACGTTTTTACAATTTATCACAGCCTTCTCCCGTCATACATTTACAATTAAATGTCAACAATGATAATAGGCATAAACATAAAGTAGATATATTTAAATATATATTGAATTTAGTACCGGAATGTGGCCGGTACAGATGGTGCGGGGCTAAACATCTTCCCTACACCAAGGGAAAAACCTTTCTGATTTTTTTGTATATATTGCCGGGGCAGAGGAGGCCGGGTATTCATATTAGTGCTAATTTAAATCTTGCATGTTAAAACAAAAATAATCGTTTAATTCAGCAATATAATTAAACCATACCATTTTTTATTGCAACCGGTAATATTATAAATTATGTAAATCCACGTATCTCGGTGACCCAGAAAATACGCCGTGGGCCATCACAACAGTTATCCCTTGGAGGGCCTCATGGCAAAATCAAACTAACCAGTCACTTATCCCTTCCTTTCGCATAAACCACTGTATAATTATAGAAACACAAAGTAAACTCTCTCCAATACATGCCCATTAACATATTAAACTAAGTTCATCTGTGTTCAAACTCAAACAAAGATACTAGCGTGCTTAATAGTTTTAGATATTTATTCATATCATAAACAGCGCAAGCATTTCTGTCGATTCCATTTCAGCTTAACCGGCTATCCGGAGGAATACATGCACCGTACTAACTGCTACGGCAGTTATTTTCTCCTTTGAAAATTGCCCACCTGCAATAATGATTCCGTAACGTACTCCTTGCGCTATTTTTTGACCATTTGGCAACTTTGCGTTTCGTAGCTGACACGGTACAACACTTTTCTTTCGCTTACTTCACACGGCCAGTCATTTTGTTTACAAAGAAATGGTGTGCTATGCGCATGCGCTAGTAGAGGGAAATCCCTGAACAAAATGTTGGTCAGACAGGTAGAAATACCGATGATTTTCTTAGATTTAATCATTTTTATGAATCTATTTCAGCCAAATCCGATCGTTATTTTCCATAAGGAGTCTCACTTGATATGTTTATGTAGTATTTGAAAAAAAGACAAAAAATAAAGTTACTTCACCGTGATGCCCCTTTAAGCACATGAACAAAAAAATACTTTATAAAAAGGGTCAAGGTGTTTTGATGTTATGTTTATTTTTTTACATATACAGAGTATTCACATTCATATATGTATAGTCTCTATGCAATATTACATTCCAGTACAAAAATATTGCTGAGCGAATACCAGTTAAGGTAGCATGCTACCTCACACATGGGGTTGTGTCATATGGTAGAGTTGTCTCCCTTCTTCTGTTTATCTTTTTAAGCATGATTGATCACCCATGTGCTACCAAGACACTGTTTTATATGTGTAGTTTTCAGATGTACTCAGAACTAAAGTATTACATAAATCAATCTGAATTATCCATGATTTAGTTTATTCTTCATGCGAAAAATTTCATTGCCTATTTTCAGGTTACAGTATAACGTCATCAGTGTGTTAGTCATGTTGATAGAAACAATTATGAACTTATTTTACTCTTGCTAGTGGATGACCTTTCATTTAAATATATAATCAATGAGTTATGCTTCCTTACCTTGAAAAAAACAAGTCCGTAAATCAGGTGAGGTGAATATTGTTCAGACCAGGTCCGTAAATCAGGGATAGACCGAAACTAAAGTCCACAATTGTTTTATTATATGACATTTTACGATAAAATTAATAATTTTTCATGGCACAGAGTGTAGGACTTCAAATACAAAATAACATACACAAAAATTGAATTTCAGATTCAATTCATGTGATATCTAATTTCAAGTAAATATTATTTGAACAATTGACATCATCAATATTAACATAGTTCAGAAGTTGATGAGATAATTCATTTGTATTTGAATTCAGTATTGTGAATAGTAACAGATTTACAGACTGGCTGGGAAATTACCTCGGCCTATTTTTAGTAGCGGTTTGTAACACTTTTCTATTTCTATGTCGAGGTCTGTAACACTTTTCTATTTATAGAACGAGGTCTGTAACATATTTACAGACTCGTCACGTGACGTCACTCCTCCAATCAGGGCTGGGATTTGGCACCAGTCATATAATAAACATCTTTTGTAACTTTCAAATTGTTTAACAATTTATTTTTTCGAGTCCACATAGAAACATTCGATAGGTTTCTTTCACAAGAACTATTTAATTATGGCCTAAATTTGAAAGTTACGACAATATGGATAAAGAGTTGAGATTAACCTCGACAAGAAATTCATCCCACGACACACATAGACCGTTGGAGTTGCGGTTTTGCCTTTACCGGAGCCTACGACATAAAATTGTCATTGTGACAGTACCTTTTTATCTATATGACTTTGGTGGTGAAAACCTTTGGGGCGGTGACATGCTTCACGGTCAGACAACAACCACTTTCCACCTATTAACCTTTTTTAGTGTTTCTGTATGATGATGTTTCAAGAACGGAGACTTTTTATATGGTTTCAACAATGAGTGATTTATGTTGATCTACCTTTAGTTATCAGTTTTCATTTAATTTCTTGAAAGAAGGAAACCAGCTTTAGCAAAGTGTTTTTTTGTATTTCTTTTAAAATTTTGGAATCAACTAAAAAGCGTTTGTTAACATGATAAAGAGAGTTCACGAGCTGTGGGTTTTTTATTTTTTCAATTTTAGTGAACTTGTCAAATGATTAACATCGTATTCATCCCATTGCTTTAGAAATTAAGATTCGGACAAGCTTAGGAATTCGTTTCATGTGGTTTGGAATGGTTTTATTTTGTTTAACGTCCTATTAACGGTTTAGGTCATTTAAGGAGGTGCCTCCGTGTATGTTGTGGATGCGTACATGTGTGCTGGAGACAGGGCATGTTGGTGCACTTACCTCCTTGGGATTGCGCGGACCTGATGCCGACTTTATAGTGCTATCTCACTGAAATACCATGCCAAATGCACCCAGCATTGCATTACGCCCGGTCACATTATACTGACAACAAGTGAACCAGTTGTTACCATTATCCTTAACGCTGAACGTAAAGTAGGGAATAACAACTACCATTTTAAGGACTTTGGTATGCCCAGACCTGGGGAACAGAACCCATTGCCTTCCTCACCCGGGCGAACGCTCAACTTTAAAGCCAAAATGAGGTATTGCCAAGCAAGGCACTAGGAAACAAAAGGTGGTTAGAAGTAGAGAGGTTAAACATCCTAACTATTGCTAAGGGTGCAGCAGATTTATTTTGGTCACTTTTGTGTCCTCAATTAGACTGCACAAAAGCAAATCCCCCATCCTGCAGTGGTTTCCCACATTAGTCGCCTCTTACGATACATGCTACCGACCTGCAGGGGCTCGTTTCAGTTGAGAGGTTTGCTAAGTAAGGTGCGCATAATACCACATTTGAAATGTTTAAATCTCTTCTCAAGATATTTAGCAATTGATACAGCATAATAAGTTTTGAGTATTCGTAAAGCCATCCACTAAGTTGAAAAATTTAAGCCTCCATTCATTTGGTACTTGAATTTAGCGGATGTCCACAAGGAATGAGCACGACGTCAATGGGCCCCAACCTTCACATCTTACATAGTTCAAGATGTTAACCAAGACAATTGTGGTAGACATTTATTTAAGGTATGGAGTACAACTTTAACTTTTATCACGAAGAAGAGTTCAGCTCGGAGTGTGATTTTTACTTATATGTATTCTCCCTTTAATTTTAGATGATTTAGCAATCTAAACAACTCATTTTTCGATTAGTATAGACAATTGTGGTAGATATTTATTAAAGGTAAAGAGTACAACTATAGCTTTTATCACAAAGAAGAGTTCAGCTCAAGGTGTTTTTACTTGAATATTCTCCCTTTAATTTAGATTATGTAACCATCAAAAGACCTTTTTTCTGAAACAGAGTAAGGTCCCTGTTAAGTTATGTATCTTTATAATGTTCATTATTTATCCATGGGATTTGCGGCCGTAAATTAGACTCTCACCTTGTCTGTCATTTTATAATTCCTGGATGCCAACATTGGTGAAATCTAAGACGTATATACTCATGGCTTTATATATCTCGGGTGAAGTGTAGGTTTTGCAATGCAAAGCTTAAGGTCTCGAGTTCAACCCATTCAATTTTTGTTGATTTCTATTTTCAATACTTTCAAACATTCCAATTTCGAACAACCATAATTCTGTCAGTAAAATGCACGTTGGACCCCCCC